ATAGAGGCGCTTCGTACAACCTCGAAACGTTGACACCATGTGATCGAGCTTTCATCTCAGCATAACAGTTAATCCCAAACCGTTTAAATACAACTGAAAGACCTACATAACCTTTATCCTGATGCTTTCCAAATGAACCTTCACCTTTTGCTAAAAGCTCTTTTGTTGCCTTTACCTTCACATAGACTAGTAGAACACACCACCTGACCGCTGAACATTGAAGCCTAGAGAACCTTAAAAAACTATTTTCTGAAATAAACACACACACCCCTTGAGAACCACCTCCATACCCCCCTTCCCTCCCCTCACCCCCCAGTAAACCCCATTCGTGAGTCTCCCACACCTGTCTCCTTGAAGACAGAAAACGAGATTACCACCCGAAGAAACCAAAACTTAATCAAAGCCATTGAAACGGAGATGCACTGAGTCCCTCAACACCCCCCTCCCCACCATTATAACATATAGAGACAATCTCAAAATATCTTTCACGAACATCTGTGTCATGGTGTAAAAGAATACAATTAACAACAAGACCACGAAAAACTGAAAGAAAGAGAATGGGTTAGATAGCTGTCTAGTAACAGAGAAAGACTTCCAGGAGCTGTAGAGAAGACTGCAGCTTTGACAGGATCAGAAGTTAATCCTCTGCCTTGAGTGAATCCTGCTCCACTTGAAAGGAGTGTTCTGCCTCTCTCTTTTCCTTTTGCCCCGTAGGGACGGATCCAGCTCCATTTCATCCTCTTGAGTAGCTGTAGTGGTCTGGAGACCTAGGTCATAAAGAAGATCCTCACCCGAAGGTATATCCAAAGCTTCATAGAGCTTGCCATGCGAGCGAACTTGTAACGCTCCTGAGAGAGCCCATCGGTAGCGTACTTGGGCTTCGGTTAAGCATTTAGTAATTGGCTTGAGTGTTTTCCTTATCTGCAGTACCTCTGAAGGCAAATCCGGAAAAACCAAAATGTCAGGCTCCCCATACTTGAGAGAACGCTTCTCCATAGCCATTTTCAAAATAGCGGGTTTTTTGTTGACATCAAAAAATTCAACTAAAATGTCCCTAGGACCTCTGTTAGTGTCCGCAGAAATTGAGCCCAGACGGTACGCCGTTATCAGAATAGGGGCTGAATCTGACACCATACCAGCCACCGAAGCCAGCCATGTAGAGATGAAATTTAAAGGGTCTTCCGATTTATCCACGTTCCGGAAAGCCCCTGAATTTAAGGTATTTTCCCCTCAATCTGTGCTCCAGGGTAAGTATTTTTTCTCTCACCCATGCCTCATTAGACTGCAACGAACGTATATCCTCTTGGTTGGCAACGGATGCTTCTAACGCCGTGTCAGCCGTTTGCATAGTGTTATTTATAAGGACCTGAAGTGATTCCAGTTTTTCATTTATTGGCTTCAAAATATCATTCATGTGACCCATAAGTTCCTCCTTGAAAGAGATAAATATGTCCTTAAGCTCTGCTCTGGTAAAAGACTCCCTGTCTGTTGCTGCGGAACTCCCAGCAACTGCCATTTTGCCTTCTTTCAGAATCGACACAGCTGACAGGGCCGAAGTTTGAGGCGCCTCGTTCCTGCGCTGGGTAAAACTCTTCGGGCTTATTTTAATAGAATTAGGGTCACCTTGAGGTTTTCCCATGACCAAACAGCTAGAGAGATCGCTGCGAGGAATAAAAATTTAGGCGGGAGGAGAGGGGCTTTCCAGAGCTCAGCTACACGGCGTCCACCATCCACGAAGCCGACGCCCCGCCCCCCCATGGCAGCTAGTTTATGACTGGCTCATTTGTTTAAGGTATTCTGACACTTGCCAACTCTTAAGTCTTTAAATTCTAAGGATCTGATAAGTTGTGACACTTTTGCCAAGTTGTTTTGCTGATCAAATTTCTCAAATACATTCAGATTTGGATACCAGCTGTAATGCAGCTGAGGCAGTAGAAGTGTCCACTGCACGATCTGGTCCATTTATTGATCATTTTGTCTTGCTACCATAAGGGATGTTGACAGGATCCCAAGATCTAGGAAGGCCACCACTTGTACTCTGGATCCCTGTTTCCTGGTTGCGGAAATCTTGTATAGATCACATTAATCAACCCCTTATGTACATCATAAATCCATCACTGACTTATGGCACCTTTCTTCAATAATTAAAAGACAGAGTTATGCATCCACTACTTTAAAAACCATCACTAGATAAGCATGTTGTGGCCCATGATCATGTTGTTTTGTTGTTCAGTCACACAGTCGAGTCCAAATCTTCGCTACCCCACGGACCACATCATGCCAGGCCCTCCTGTCTTCTGCCATCCTCTGAAGTTTGCTCAATTTCATGTTCATTGCATTGATAACACTGTCTAACTATCTCATCCTTTGCTGTCCCCTTCTTCTTTGACCTTCAATCTTTCCCAGCATCAGAGTCTTCTCCAGTAAGTGCTCCCTTCTCATTTGGTGGCCAAAGTATTTGAGCTTCAGCTTCAGTATCTGGCCTTCCAGGGAACAGTCAGGGTTAACTTCCTTTAGGACTGACTGATTTGATCTCCTTGCAGTCCAGGGGACTCTCAAGAGTCTTCTTCAGCACCGTAATTCAAAAGCATGTATTCTTCGGCGCTTAGCCTTCCTTATGGTCCAACTCTCGCAGCCGTACATTACTACTGGGAATATCATTGCTTTGACTGAAGTGTTTGGATTGCTCTGGCTGGATGCCGTAATAAAATTTCATTCCATTGCTTTGACCATACAGACTTTTGTTGGCAGTAAATCTCTGTAAATTTTGTTGGCAGTAAATCTATGTAAATCTCTACTTTTTATTATACTGTGTAGGTTTCCCATCGCTTTCCTCCCAATGAGCAGACATCTTTTAATTTCATGGCTGCAGTCACCATCTGCAGTGAAATTGGATCCCAGGAAAGTGAATTCTGTCACTGTTTCCATGACTTCCCCTTCTATTTGCCAAGGATTGATGGGGCTGGATGCCATGGTCTTAGTTTGTTTGATGTTGAGTTTCAAGGCAACTTTTTGCACCCATGATCATATTATCTCTTATTTGCCCTTTCTGGTCAAGACAACAGAAAGAGCAGTTGTAGAACAGCTCTAGGTCTTCCAAGAAGGCACATCTTCTCTAGACCCTTTTCAGTCTGGTTTCAGGCCAGGCTATAGGACAGAGATGGCACTGATGATCCCCATTTGAATGTAAACAAGGGCTTGTTGCTTTTATTGCATTTATTTGTTGCCTTTGATACAGTGGACCATGCCATCTTGTTGAGGTGTTTGGAGGCAGAAGTGTCAAGTAATGTGCTTTGGACTAGTTCGAATCTTTCCTTAGGGGTTGGACTCGGAGGGTTTATACAGAAGACAATGTGGGACTTGTGGGATTCCACAAGGCTCAGTAGTAGTTCTATGCTATTTAATCTCTATGTAAAGCCCTTAGGATACATCATTTGCTGACAATATCCAGCTTTATATTCTTTTGTCCAAGCAGCCCAGCGCTGATGTAGAGGTACTGAGCCAACGCCCGACTGCTGTGGTTAAGCATGAACAAACTGAAATGGAATGCTGACAAGACAGAAGTGATGCTGGTTGAGCATATTTTCTCATATTTGATGTGATTCAGCTGACCCTTGCTAACTCAGTTAAGAGTCGAGAGGCCATACTGGACCCAAGATTATTGCTAGAGAAGCAAGTTACTTCCATGGCAAAAACCGCTTTCTACCATATTGATTTAGCCAGGAAGATGGCTCCCTTCCTTGACCAGGCTGACCTGGCCATGTGGATTCATGCTACAGTAACTTCAAGATTAGGCTATTGTAATGCACTTGATATGGGTCTGACTTCAAAGACAACCTGAAAACTCCAGCTGGTACAGAATGCTGAAATTCAAGTATCAGGAACTAGGCAGAGTATGCATATTATGTCCATTGTTTACCAATTAGTTCCCATGGGTACTGGCTATCAACCACAAAGCCCTTTATGGCCTAACACACACATATGTAAAGGACTGCCTCTCCCAATATGCCCGACTGCAACAGCTACACTTCTCTGAGCAAAGCCTTCTAAAGGTGCCATCCTGTGAATGGATAAGATGACAGCTGCCTATACAGCACTCTCTGTTGTGGTTCCCACTTTATGGTTTGGCCTGCCTGAAGATGCAAAGATTCCCACACCTATATCGCATAGTTTATGGTATAGTTTCTTATAATGCATTTCTTGTTTTTATTGCATTGATTTCTAAATCCTATAATCTAATTTTTGCTGTTCTCATGTCATGTCAAACTGTTTTTATTGTATTGCTTTCCAATTTTCTAAGCTAATTTTATTAACATGTTTATATTTGTATACTGTTTCTATTGCTTTGTTAAATGTTGTAATCCACCTTGAGTCCCAGTGAGAAAAGCAGACTATAAAGTAAATAAAGAATGGTGCAGAAGCATTCCTTAACAAAGATGTAGGTTTGTTAAAGTTCAAGCCAGTCGTAGAGTTTGCACAGTCCTCACTGATTCTGCAACGGTCCATACCAACTATATTGAATGGTACGAAAGGACCAGGGCAGGCTGAAGCCATCTGATCTTCTGTATTGCAAGGACTGCATGTATATGTAGTCCCTCAGATTAAAGTACTATGGATGCCCTCTAACTGAATATCCTAAAAAGTTGAAGAAACAAGGAATAGATCTCCTATACCTGATCTTTAGGATGAGTCGGATCTTAGCAATGTTTTCTAGCTGCCAATTATTTATATTTACCATCAGTGTCAATGATGGGTCCACTCTAAGAGACCATGTATCGCAGAACATCTCTCATCACACTTGATGGACACAACTCAACTGCTAAGCAGTCCCAAGGCTTTAGATACATCACTTCCCTTTGCATATTCCAAACCAAAATTCAAAAGAGAGCCCTTATTAGCATTATAGCTTACAGGGCAGCCAGGAGGATTCAGCCTGGTTAGTGCCACATGTGCTGTATTCTGAGAATGGTGGCACAGATTAATCTGCCCTCAAATGAAGTTCATTCCACACAGAACTATTTAAGCACCTGTTATGACGGGCAATTACCAGACAATCTGGCAACAAGTTACCTTGCTTGCCTCAATTACAGCACTGTGATAGCTTTTGCAAAAAAAAGAGAACACGTGAAACCACCAAACAGCTTAAACCCATCCTATAACATCAGTGAAACACTGCACTTTGCAACGTCCTAAGCACTAGGATCTGGGCTAGCAAATAAGGATCTGATTGTAAGTTACTCACATAGGGTCATCATCAGGCTCCCATCCTTCTAATTCTTTAAAACAGAAGAAGCATTGAGCCACATCAGGGGCATTGTCACCCGGACAGTGAATGAATCCAGCTTTTGCCATCTGGATTGGGAAATGAATACATGAACACATGAAGCTACTTTATACTGAATCAGATCATTTGTCCATCAAGGTCAGTATTGTCTGCTCAGACTCGCAATAGCTCTGCAGCATCCCAGGCAAAGGGCTTTCACACCACCTATCATCTGATCTTTCTAGATGCATTTGCATTTATCTCAGTTTTCTCCCCCATTGGGATTCAGAGCAGCTTAGAACATTGTTCTCCCCTCCTCCATTGTCTCACAACAATCTTGTGCCGTAGACTGGGATGAGAGTTTGTGACAGGCCCAAGGTAACCAAAGCAAGCTTCCATGGTAGAAGTGGGGATTCAAAACCAGGTCACCCAGGGTCCTAGTCCACTACTCCATACTGGCTCTCGATGGCAATGCCAGAGATTGAACCTGGGACATTCTACATGCCAAAGGCCCTCCCCAAAGAGAGTTATTCAGAAAGGATATGCCACATACCCTAAATTCCTTAGCTGGAAAACCAGGAGAGATTGTTTGACTGCAAGTCTCCATAGCCCAGAGTATCTTATGCACTGAGGCAATATCTCTCAGCATCACATACACTCCCCAAATGCCCATTGATTCAACACTTGTACATTAATTACTGTTTGACATCTGTCTTCTGTGGCATCACAGCTAAGAAAGCAATATACAAACATTTAGGGATTCAGGAGAGTAACCAATGTTTTGAAATGATCCAAGTGCCAGTTTGGTGTGGTGGTTAAGAGCAGTGGACTCTATAATCTGGAGAACTGGGTTTTATTCCCCACTTCTCCACATGCAGCCAGTTGGGTGACCTTGGGTCAGTCACAGTTCTCTCAGAGCTGTTCTCTCAAGAGCAGTTTTCTCAGAGCTCTCTCAGCCCCACCTACCTCACAGGACATCTGTTGTGGGGAGAGGAAGGGAAGGGGATTGTTAGCTGCTCTGAGAATCCGAGTGAAGGGTGGGGTATAAACCAACTCCTTCTTCTTCTATATGAGAATTGACAAAATATTTAAGACAGCATTGTAGCTAAAAATAATAGAAAACCATTCAGTAATAAAAAGGCCTGAATGGACTATCCAATGCATTGGCTAGAAATATAAATTCCAAGACTGAGGGGGAGTTGTTTTCACTTTGTAAGAACCAGGTTGCTACCCTGTAAAAATACTTTATATCATTTAATCTACAAAGCACTAATGCAAGCTGATGAAAGGCTTGTACCACTAAACTCAGAAGAGAAGTCACTGAAGTTAACAGCAATAAAAAGGCCTTGTACATCCAAAACCTTGCACAGCAAATATATAAAGCTTAACAGAAACTATACAGATGAGTGATCATGTATTCATTGGTGAAGCCTGGGTATCTGACAGTCTTAAAAAGCATACCACCAGAATTTCAAAAATCAGATCTGTCAAATGCAGAGAGGTCAGAAACTATCAATCATGAGATTGCTGGATATCATGGACTTGCACATTCTTGTTATTTTACAAGGCACAAGAATTATACATAGGTACTTAGTAATAACACACATAATTGACAACTAAGCCAATCTTAAAGAATTCTACCATCAGAACAAGTCTGACAATAACCGTACTTACAAGTAGGGTATCAAAAAGGGCTCACTCATCTTCCCAATCTATCTCCATGATTCCCCCCTCCCTCTCCATCATAGACCCTGCTACTCTGCTCATCTTTCCTTCTCTCCCACCCACCTGGTCTCATTCCACCTGCCATTTCCCCTCCAATCCATCCTTCCCTTTCCCTTGCAGATTTTGTTTTTCTCACTTTCTTGACTCCCTCCAGTCCCCATTTCCCACCATTTGCTCCATTTTTTTTGTTGCTTCTCCATACCCACCCTCTCTTCCTTCTTGTTTTGTAGGCCTGCCCACTCCTTCATTCCCCAATTCACCTCCAGTGTTCCAGTGAAGGTGCAGCAGCCATAACAGAGTACCAGAATTTTCAAAGCAATCCAAAATGGCCACCTAGATCTCATGAGGAAATCCCGTGAGCTCTCAGTATTTAAAATTGTTGTTTATTCCCTCCAGTTTTTCAATTCAAGATTTGTCTGTAAACCTGTGAGTTCCCCCAAATTTATAGAAAGATCTCCCTCCTCTGCATGTGGCCCAAACCTGTAGTTCAAGTAAACTGCATCTACAGCTATGTCCAAAATTAGATAGCTGTTTTTCAAAACTTCCAACCAAGTCAGACCATTGCTCCACCAAGCTCAGTACTGGCTCCTCAGACTGGAAACAGCTATCCAGGGTGTCAGGAAAAGAAAGGCCTCCCCCAGCAGTTGAACAGGGAGATATGGTCTCAATCCCCTACTCAGTCAAAAAGCTCACTCAATGACCTTGGACTTTCTCCCCTTGTCTAGCTTACCTCAAAGGGGTGTTGGGAAGATAAGTGGGAGAGACCCTTGTATGCCACCCTGGGTTGCTTTGGCCAGACAAATACTCAGTATCCTTTGAACAGGAGAAATGAGGGGCTGAACCTGGGCCCTTTTGTTACAAAGCACTCTGTCTCAAACTCTTTCCAAGTGAGGTACATTATATCCCTCAATGTAATGGCGTCAAGTAAGCTTGCAACTCTATATACGCTTGTGAATAAACGTTATTGAAATCAAAAGTACTTCGTGAACATGCCTAAAACTGAGCTGGAATCCCGATTGTAGGTAGAGTTCAAAAGAATGACGCCTTTGCACTTTCAGCCCTCAGCAATTTGGTTGCTGGAGCCCAGTTAGGGATGCCAGCCTCCAGGTGGGACCTGGGGATCCCCTGGAATTACCGCACATCTCTAGACTACAAAGAACAGTTCCGCTGGAGAAAATGGATGCTTTGGAGGGTCGACTCTCTGGCACTGTACCCCACAAAGTTCCCTGTCTTCTCCAGGCCCAAATCCCAAATCTCCAGGAGTTTCCCAACCTGGCAACCCTGCCCCCTCTCCCCTCCGGTGGCCAGGGGTGTCTTGGCAACCTTCGCCCGCTTTGGAAGAGGACGGTGTGCTGCTCCCTTCCGCTTGTGGTACACCCTCCTTTGAAAGACAAAGCAAAGCGGCGAAGCCTGAGCAGGACGCGAGGGGGTGCCTTCTTCTTCCCTCCAGAGCGGGAAGAGGTCGCGCGGAGGGCCAGAGGCTGTGATAAGCGCCGTTCTTACCTGCTCCGGAGTGCAAAGGCAGCCGTCGCTGAAAGGCCACTGTGTGAACGTATCGACGCGATTCTGAACCAGGAGCAGCTTGAGGCCCTCAGACAACTGAGAATCCATAACGAACTCAGCGGCATTCAAACGGCAGCGGGAAAGACCAAGCACACCCGTGGAGCATCTTGGGATATACCGTTCCTCCTGACGCCGAGAATTCTGGGACATGTAGTCTTTACAGTTACTGCGTGGGGAAAGGGGCTTTCTTCTGCAAAAGAGATGTTTAAAAACTACAATTTGTCTTGTAGCCCCTGAAAGACTGACTTATTTATAGATGCATATAGCCTCATGGACTAGCGCTTACCCCCATATGATGCAAAAAGTGCGTGGCCAAAAACGGGGTGGGGGGTGGGTGGAGAGTGCAAACAGTGTGGCCAAAAAGGGGATGTTGCAGCACAAAAAAAGTTGCAAAGAGAATACAGAATGGATTTTTCATTAAGGTCTCTGGGCCCAGATAGACTACTCTGGGTCTGGAATGGCAGCTCCAAGAGTGGAATGACGGTCCCTAGCAATGGGCTCAGTGCTCTGGGACTAGAATGACAGGTTGCAGAGAGGAATGACAGCTCCTGGGAGAAACAGAAGTGTTGTGTAACTACCCGACCATGTGCGTGATCTGGTTTCAGGCGGTTGGCTGGTGGTCATGTGAAGAGCCTGAGCTTTGCTCCCCCAGAACAATAGACGGTGGGATCCTAGTCCCCTTCCTATCCAGAAACTAGGATCCTAGAGTTAACTCAATCAATGTAAATAAGCCTATCACGGGTGTTGGGGTGTGTTTGGGTGTGATTTTGCTTCAAGATATAAGCCGGCCTGCAAGCCGGCTTCTGTGTCTTGTTCCTATACTATCTAATAAACCTATGAGCTGATTTCACTACATCATGCATCGGACCCAGTACTTTTCAGTGGCAATTAGGATGGGATCCGCATGACTTCATGAACAAGACACTGCAGCACAGAGCACCGCATTGCGCCCCGACCACAATCCGAGCACCGCACCCCGCATCGTTGATGATGCTTCCAGCACCGCACTGCGCACCGCTTCTCTGGTCACCACGCCTCGCATCGCTCCTCTCCCAAGCAACGCACCCAGCACCGCTGATGACGGTTCCAGCCTGGCCTCGCGTCCCGCTTCACCGACGACCCGGAACACCTCAGCATCTCCACGTGGAGCACCTAAGATGGCTGCCGCGCAAGGTAACCTTCCTGAGTTTGATGTCAGCCATCCCGAGCAGTGGAAGACCTGGTTGGATCGTTTGGAGGGCTACCTCGAGTTCCACCAGGTCACTGAGGCCGAGCGGAAGAGGGCTTTGCTGGTCAGCACCTGCGGCATCGACACCCTGTGGCTGCTAAAAGACCTGATCTCGCTGAAATCCACTAAGGAGGAGTCCTTTGAGGTGCTGAAGAAAGCGCTTAATGACCATTTTGCACCCAAACCCACGAAGTTTGCGGAGTGCCTGGACTTCTTTGCAAAAGTCCAAGGTCCAGATGAAGCGGCTGTGGACTTCCTGGTGGGGCTCCACTGAGCGGCCACCCGGTGTGCATTTGCCAGTCTGGACGAGGCCCTCCTGAATCAGTTCCTCATGGGCCTACGAGAACCGAAGTTACACCGCAAATTTGCCAGCAACGAGGACCTGACCCTCAACCAGGTCCTGAAGGACGCAACGACCTACAAGAAGGCCCACTGCGGATCCAGCAGACGAGCTGTCCACCACACTGCCTCCCGGGACTTGGACATCTCAGACGGGGAGGAGGTTCTCCAGGTGCACCAGTCATCTCACCGTGGCCCCTGCTCCCAAGCATCACCGGCCCTGGCATCTGAGAAGGCCTCCAGCTCCTGCACAAGCTGTGGAGAGGCACACAAACGCCGGACCTGCTGTCTGCGGGACGCTGTCTGCCGCTCCTGCGGAAAACAAGGGCACATCTGCCGATCCCGGGGAAACCACAAGAGGTCCACTGTCCACCACGAGACATCGGACCTACACACCCTGTCAGCCCACCAGCTGCAGAACCACCACTAGGTAATGAACTTGCCCCCTGATTGCCCTAATAAAGTGCATGCAACGGTGCTCATTGAGGGGTCCCCGTGCTGCATGGAGCTGGACACCGGGTCATCCTTTTCAATAATTTCTGAGGGCACCCTCCGTCAGCTTTGCCTGCGAGGGGGGCCCCACCTGAGGAAGGCCCATGGCCTGTTGCTCAGGGATTTTCAATAGAATCCCGTGGACATTAAAGGCTGGGGCAAGTTCAGGGTGGCCTATAAGGACTTTAATGGACTCTTGGACTTGCTGGTGGTGGGAGGCAGGTTCACGAGTTTGTTAGGACTGTCATGATTTGGGCCCCTGGGTTTTGAGGTGACGTTGGTTAATCGGGTCGCCCAGCTGACTTTCACCTCAGTCTGTGAGGAGTTCTCGGCCGTGTTTGATGGAACACTGGGCCGTTTCAGCGGATCCCCGATCACGTTGGACCTGGACCCCACAGTGAATCCCATCCGGTTGAAGTATCGCCACCCTCCCCTGGCACTCCGGCCTAAGATCGAAGCGGAGTTGGATCGCCTTGTTGAACAGGGGGTGCTGGAACCGGTCACCCATGCCTGATGGGAAACGCCTATTGTAACGCTGGTTAAGCCCAATGGTGATGTACGAATCTGTGCCGACTATAAGTGCACTCTCAATAAAGCGCTACAGGCACATGCGTACTCCGTGCCGGTGGTCGCCCACGTCCTGACAAAAAAAGTTTTGGGAAATTGGACCTGGCACAGGCATACCAGCAGCTGCCAGTGGGCGTGGCTACCGCAGAGGCACAGACCATAGTAACCCACAAGGGGGCGTTTAAGGTCCATCGGCTGCAATTTGGGGTGAGCGTCGCACCGGGGATTTTTCAGAGTATCATGGACAATCTCTTGAAAGGTATCCCTGAAATTCGGCCCTTTCTGGACGACGTCTTGATCGCGGCCCCAGACTTCGAGACCTTCGCCTATGAGCTGATTTCACTACATCATGCATTGGACCCAGTACTTTTCAAGAAGTGTTCTGGGACTGGAATGATGGATCACAGAGTGGAATGACAGCCCCTGGGAACAGCAAAAATGTTCTGGGGCTAGAATGACAGCCTCCAGAGTGGAATGATGGTCCCTAGCAATAGAATCTGTGCTCTGGGGATGGAATGACAGGTCATAGAGTGGAATGACAGCCCCTGTGAATTGGCTCAGTGCTCTGGGACTGGAATGACAAGTCACAGAGTGGAATGACAGCCCCTGGGAATAGGTTCAATTTTCTGAGACTAGAATGGCAGGTTGCAGAGTGGAATGACAGCTCTTGGGAGAAACAGAAGTGTTCTAGGACTGGAATGACAGCCCCTGGGAGCAGCAGAAGCTTTCTGGGGCAGAATGACAGGGCGAAGACTGGAATGACAGTCCCTGGGAATAGGTTCAGTGCTCTGGGGCTGGAATGACAAGTTACAGACTGGAATGACGGCCCTTGGGAGTAGCAGAAGTGTTCTGGAATTGGAATGACAGCCCCCAGAGTGGAATGACGGTCCCTAGAGTGGTTTGAGTAATATTTCTGGAAGGTATATAGCTATCGCTGAATCAGCTCCACCAACCCAGAGCACCCCCCTCCGTAGTATCTCTACTACTACATATTCTAGCTCAGGAGTCCCTGACCTTTATGAGCCTGTAGCACCTTTGTAATTCTGACACAGTGTGGTGGGTGCAGACACAAAATGACTGCTGCAGGAGGTGGAGCCAGCCAGGAAAGGATGACCACAGCATACCTTCAGTCACACAGTGAAGATCCTCGGAATTTGGTGGCAGCTGCTGCCAAAGGAATGTTTTTAAAAATCTGCACAGCCATTCAGATCTCAAATGGACAATCAAAAGACCTGCTGAAATGCAATAGCACTAGGCTAAACTTCATACATTCACTTGGCCCCTTCTGGGCTAAATCAATTAGGGAATCAGAAACTTAAAGTAGACTGATACAAAGCTCCCTCTGAGGTCTGGCTAGAAGTTCTTTAGTCACCCATTTGATAGTGTTTCACAGAAACGATTGGTACTCTGAGGTTGTTCTACTTCTGTCCTACTAAAATGGCAACTCAGGCACACATGGAAATCAAGGGAGTGTTCCATGCAAAGCTGTCCATGATAAAGGACAAAAACGGTAGGGACCTAACAGAAGCAGAAGAGATTAGGAAAAGATGGTAAGAATACACAGAAGAACTATACAAGAAAGACCTCGATGTCCTTGACAACCACGATGGTATAATCACTGACCTCGAGCCAGACATCCTGGAATGTGAAGGTAAATGGGCCTTAGAAAGCATCACTAACAACAAAGCTAGTGGAGGTGATGGTATCCCAGCTGAGCTATTCAAAGTCTTAAAAGATGATGCTGTTAAAGTGCTGCACTCAATTTGCCAGCAAATTTGGAAAACGCAACAGTGGCCACAGGATTGGAAAAGGTCAGTATACATTCCAATCCCAAAGAAGGGCAATGCCAAGGAATGTTCAAACTATCGCACAATTGCACTCATATCACACGCTAGCAAGGTCATGCTCAAGATCCTACAAGCTAGGCTTCAACAGTACGTGGATAGAGAACTGCCAGAAGTACAAGCTGGGTTTCGAAGAGGTAGAGGAACTAGAGATCAAATTGCCAACATTCGCTGGATTATGGAGAAAGCAAGAGAGTACCAGAAAAATATCTACTTCTGCTTCATTGACTATGCTAAAGCTTTTGACTGTGTGGATCACAACAAACTATGGCAGGTCCTTAAAGAGATGGGAGTACCAGACCACCTCACATGTCTCTTGAGAAACCTGTATAAGGGCCAAGAAGCGACAGTTAGAACCGGATATGGAACAACTGATTGGTTCAGCATAGGAAAAGGAGTACGACAAGGATGTATATTGTCACCTTGCTTATTTAATATATATGCAGAGTACATCATGCGAAATGCTGGCCTGGATGAATCACAAGCGGGAATTAAGATTGCTGGGGAAAAGATCAACAACCTCAGATATGCAGACGATACCACTCTAATGGCAGAAAGTGAAGAGGACCTAAAGACCCTCTTACTTAGGGTAAAAGAGGAGAGCGCAAAAGTGGGCTTGAAGTT